GAAGTGGGCGAGGCTTCAGCCCCTCGAGGGGCGGGCTCGGCGCGGAGCTAGAGCCCAGGTTTTCCCGAGGGGGCGCGGTCAGAGTGTACGGGCTCCGGGAGGGCTCCGGTGGGGGTGGAGTCAGGACCTTGCGGGTGGGTGCAGTGGTTCTCAACCTTCTGGCCCTTTAAATACAGTTCCTCATGTTGTGACCCAACCATAAAATTATTTTCGTTGCTAATTCATAACTGTAATGTTGCTACTGTTATGAATCGTAATGTAAATATCTGATATGCAGGATGGTCTTAGGCGACCCCTGTGAAAGGGTCGTTCGACCGCCAAAGGGGTCGCGACCCACAGGTTGAGAACCGCTGGTAGGACTTTGAGTTGGGCGGGATTCGAATTTTGATGGAAAGGTCTTGGAGCTCGAGTTGTGTTAGATGGAGCCTGGCAGTTGGTTCTCAGGTGGGCGAAGTTCAAAGTCCGCAGGGGACTGGGTCTCAAAGTGGGTGGAGATTATTCTGGAGCTAGAGCCAGGGCCCTAGGTGGGCGGAACTAGAAAGAGGGAAGGTTTTTTTGTTTGTTCTAATCCTCACCTGAGGATACTTTTTCCGTTGATTTCTAGAGATAGCGAAAGGGAGAGAGAGAGAGAAACATCGATCTGAGAGAGATATATCGATTGGTTGCCTCCCGTGGGCGCCCCTACTAGGGCTGGGGAATCGGCAACAGAGGTACCTGCCCTTGACCTTGAAGGGGAATCAAACCCGCCAAGCTCTAACCATGGAGCCACCCGCCAGGGCCTAGAAAGAGGGAGGATTTGAAGCTGCAGGAGCTCCGTCCCTCTCCCACTTATCCCCCCCCCCCCCCCCCCCCACAGGAAAAGCTTTTTGGCCCAGGTGGGTGTCTGGCAGCACACCTAGATTGCGCCACTCCCTTTCCCTACTTTTAGGCTTTCTCTGCACAGAACTCCAGGCTGCCCGCCTCCTCCGCCTGCACCACCAGCTGGATCCCACCCCAGCGGTGCCCCCATCCCATGGGGAAGGGGCAGAGGAGGGAGCTGGCATGGTTCGGGAACTGATCCTTATCCTCCAAGCCCTGGGGCTGCTCAGACCTTCGCTGGGGACCCTCGCCAGCAGGCTGCTGTGGGAGTTGCATGCCAAGGTAGAAAGCAAGAGTCCGAGCCACCGGTGGTCTGGGTCCTCAGGGCTTTAGGAAACTAGGGTCCACAGAAAATTCCCACAGTTTCTTACAGTCAGTCAGCCTCTTGAATCCTTCTCCCATCAGGTCTCAGAGCTTCTGCCTTCCCTGCCCTCAGGATCCCTGCAGCCCCTTCTAAGCTACCCACTAGACGCACCCAGATGGGTAAGACTATGGCTGTATGCAAATAGTGTCCTCATTCAGAGATGGGGTGAGGGGGACCTCCTGATATGACCAAGACCTTTCTCCCCAGGAAGCATTGGAGTCCCTGTGCCAACGCCTGGGCGATCAGTACTGCTGCCGCCGTAGCCTCCTCCTAAAGCGCCTGGACCTCACGATATCTGCATTCCACTGGAGTGATCGGGCAGAGGTATGGGCATAGGACCCTGGAAAGATCAAGGAGGCCCAATGGTGGGAGCTACCCCTGCAGGGAAGAGGAACAAGGGCCAGGAATATTACCCTCTTGCATGTTCTGAGGTCCAGGACAATGTAGAATCTTGTGAGGTTGGGGTCCTAGAATCTCAGGGCCTCCAGGACATTCTAGAATTCCCAGCTCTGAGTTGGGAGTGTCTTCAGAGCTATACCCCTTATTTAGAGAGGTGGGAAGTGTGACCCTGAGTGAGAAAGAAATGTTTCCAAAATGAGAGATTCCCACCTTGATTGGCTCTTGGGTACCTTCTCCATGTTCCCTCACAACCCCCAGGCCCAAGGGGAGGCCATGAAGGCAGTGCTGATCCCAATTCGAGAGACTATGACCCCAGAATCGGATGTCTCCATTGCACACATCCTGGCTGCCCGAGCTGATCTGTCTCGTCTTGTTCCAGCCACAAGCAAGGCTGCCCGCCAAGGGACCATCTGTGCCATCAACAAGGTGGGCATCTGGGGTTGGGGAAGGGCACTAGCATCTTTGGCCTTCAAACTAGCCTATCAACCTCTACCTTGGCCCAGCTTTGTCCTCTCCTCTGCCTGGTTTCCTAGCCTCTGGATTCATCACCTCTAATCCACCCTCTCCATATAGCAGTTGGAAGGATATTTCTAACTCAGAAATCTGGCCATGTCCCCACCTCGCTAAAAACCCTCCTATGGCTCCCCAGTGCCTTTCAAACAATCCATCTGAGCCCCCTGCCCACCTCTCTAGCTTTGGCTTAAACTCCTCCCCCAACACCTCACTCTATTATATTAGTTTTCAGCCATTTTAAAAGCAAAAATACCCTCTGTTTAAATGATTATGTATTTGGCCTCATATCTCTGTTTAAATAGTCTTATACTTATGTGAATAAATACTAGGGAATAAAGTCTAGCACAGCAAAGAGGTAAAATTTAAGAAAGTTATTTGCTTTAAGGAAATATAGTAAGTAAGTAATATTATAGGTGATGCACAAGTGATGGATATTTAGAAAAACACATGCTGCTTTTCTGGAAATGTTATGCAAAGGCCAAATATAAGATAAACATAAATTGAGGTGTCCTTATTACTATTGGTGTGGACTTGGACCTCTGCCATCACTCTGTTTTATTTCCCTCTTCCTGAGGCCCCTGGAACCCAGTTTGAAAGCTCCAGGCCTGTATCTTCCACCAATCCAACCCCCTAGACCAGCCGTGGGCAAACTACGGCCCGTGGGCCGGATCCGGCCCGTTTGAAATGAATAAAACTAAAAAAAAAAAAAAGACCGTACCCTTTTATGTAATGATGTTTACTTTGAATTTATATTAGTTCACACAAACACTCCATCCATGCGTTTGTTCCGGCCCTCCGGTCCAGTTTAAGAACCCATTGTGGCCCTCGAGTCAAAAAGTTTGCCCACCCCTGCTAGACACTCCCACCCATTATACCTGAATAGTCAACATCTGCCCTTCCTTTTTTTAAATTCATGCTGTTCCCTTGGCTCTCTGGCCCCCTTGTTCAAGATATTTTTCTTCTCTGAAACTAAAGTCTAATCAACTCTCAGGTGCTTATGGGCAATGTGCCAGACCGAGGGGGACGTCCAAATGAGTTGGAGGCTCCTATGCCCAGCTGGCAGAGCAGAAGAGAGAATGGAGGCGGGTGGAAGGCAGGCCGCCACTGCTGGGGCGATAAGAAGAAGAAGAAGAAGAAGAAATAAAGGGGGACTGGGTCCTCTATGAGATGCTGATACCATTGGTAATCTCTGGGAAGTCAATTTGAGGGTGTTTCTTGGCACCTGGCACCCAGGCGCCACATCTCCTATTCCTGAGGCCCTAATTTTCCCCCCTTCTCCGCCCCCCCCCCATCCACCATTTAACATCAAGGACCATGTTCTCTGGAAAATAAATTTAATTTATGACAGCTGTGGACCTATCTCTGGGGGTGGGGGAGGGGGAGAGGGTGCACAGGTTTGAGGAGGAGGGAGGGGGTCTCAGTCCCTTGGATCTAAATAGGCTCCTGGTGCTTTGACCCTCAAAGTCCTTTGTTCTTCAGCAACACATTTTTCCCTTCCTGTGGGCATGGGGAAAGAGCATGCAGGCATTGAACAAACATTTATCAGGTACCCAATATGTGGCAGCTCTGTTCGCAGCTCTGTTCTAGGCTCTTGGAATAAAGCAGTGAAAAGCACAGCCCCCGTCTTGCTGGAGCTGACATTTCTAGTAAGGATGGGCAGATATTCAACAAGAGAAAAAGGTAAAATGTATAGTTGCCAGATGAGGAAAGGATTTTGGAGGAAAATAAAGCAGGAAGGTGGGATCCGGAACCATGGGGAGATTGAAACTTTGAGTACGATGAGGGGTGGCCTCACTGAGGTGACACTTGAGCTAAGTCCCAAAGAGGGAGTCATGTGGGCCTCTGGGGAAGTGTTCTAGGCAGAGGAAACAGCCAGTGCAAAGGCCCTGAGGTAGGAGTATTTTGGCATGCTCAGGGACCATTGAGGCCAGTGTAGCTGAAGCAGGATGGGAGCGGGTAAGTGGTAGGAAGTATTAGGGGCAGACTGTGTGGAGTGGGCTACAGGGAGGACTGTGGCTTTTAACCTGAGTGAAATGGAGCCACATGATCAGACTCGAGTGTTCACTGGCTCCCCTTTCTATCCCTTCTTGAGCCTTCTCTCCTGTCTCTAGAACCCCAGTGTTTGGGACTCTGCCCTTCTCTCCCGTCCCCCTCCTGACCCACGCTGACTGTCAGTGTAGCACATTGATCAGAAGCTTCTGATTTAGAGGCAGACAGAAGACTTGGGTTTGAGTCCTGCCTCCAACACTTAGGAACTCTGCCACCTTGGGTGAGCAGCTTAACCTCACTGAGCCTCAGTTTCTTCATCTGTAAAATGAAGACTTAAGGAGTTGGTAAAATAATAGTAAGATTAAATGTATCCAACATGGAGCTGCACAGTTAACTAAGTGCAGGATAAGGGAGTACAATTAATAGCTACTCTGATGCAAAAGAAGAAAATAACTTCCCGATGTCTAGGAATTTGGCTTGGAGGACTGGATGGGTGGCGAGGCCATCGTTGGGAGGGGAACCTGGAAGGAAGAAGACATTGGGTGATATGGGGGTGGTGGTGTATGATGTCCAGAAGATGTTTCACTGCCAGCAGTACCTCACCAGGCTTTTCTCTCTCTCTCACTTTTTTTAAAAATATGGAACGCTTCACGAATTTGCGTGTCATCCTTGCGCAGGGCCATGCTAATCTTCTCTGTATCGTTCCAGTTTTAGTATATGTGCTGCCGAAGTGAGCATCTCTCCAGACTTTTGTTAAGTGGATGAATGAATGTCCCCTGTGGACATTTTTTAACCCAATCTCAGAGTCTCTGCCTTTGAATAGTAGAATTTACTCCATGACATTTATTGTAGCTCCTGATATATTTGGCCTTATTATTGCCATCTTATTATTTTCTTTATTTTTTTCCTCCCTAAAATCCTTATCCTGTTCTGCTAGTGGCTACCCCTTTTCCCCATCAACATACTGAAATTTCTGTTTTTCTAACAACAGTAAAAATTTACCAGAATCTCCTACCCAAGTAATTGAGGATTTTTGCACAGTTTTACTTTCCCGTGCTTCCCCAAATCTGTTTGGGTTCCCCAGGCAAGTGAGTTGGTCTTCCCGGTATCCACTTGGGGGTCAGGGGCAGTTTCTCCTCACCGTGTCTGGTTCCCAGGAAGAGTGTGGGGGCTCTGTCTGGGTCCAAGCATGGTGAAGGTGGCACTCCGTCTCAGGTTCCAGGGCGTATGTGTAGGAAAGACTGTCCTCAGAGCCTGTTTTGAGGGTATGGGTGGGAGGAATGTGGGTATGTTGGGAAGAGCTTCATGACCTTGGGATTAATCCCTATGTACCAAGCCCCCTTCCCAGGACTGTACACCCCGGATCTTACCACAGCTGGCACGGGGCGTTGGTGTGGGTGGGACAGGGGCTCCTGAGGGGCTCATATCGCCCTTGGGCCCTGGCTTCCTACACTCCTCCTTTACTCGGTCTCTGCAGTGTTTGTGGCAACACAGTCCACAGTCTGGGGGAAGGCAGCAGTTAGTGGCCAAAGGCCCAGTCCACGCCCCCATTCTTCTGGGCTGCAAGTCCTGAACTCCCTCCCCCCTCACTGATGTCCCACTTACCCCGACAGCGGTAGCCTTGCTTGGTAACACCCCAGAGCTAGGAAGAGAAAGCAGAATAGGTTACCAAGGCTAGGAGAGGCAGGGCTGTGGATGGGGCGGGGCTCTTTGGAAGTGTGGAAACCATCCAGGTTTTGGAAATTCTCAAGGCTAGGTAGAGGTTTATGTGGGATGAGGATTAAAGGAATTTGGAGGTTTACTCAAGTTTGGGGAATCATCTAGGGCCTAGATTCTAGGCCAGTGATGGCGAACCTTTTGAGCTCGGCATGTCAGCATTTTGAAAAACCCTAACTTGCCCTAACCAGTTTGGCTCAGTGGATGGAGTGTCGGCCTGTGGACTCAAGGGTCCCGGGTTCGATTCTGGTCCATCCCCAGTGGGGAGTGTGCAGGAGGCAGCTGATTGCTGTTTCTCTCTCATTGATATTTCTAACTCTCTATCCCTCTCCCTTCCTCTCTGTAAAAAAATCAATAAAATATATATTTAAAAAAAACAAACAAAAACCCTAACTTAACTCTGGTGCCGTGTCACATATAGAAATTTTTTGATATTTGCAACCATAGTAAAACAAAGATTTATATTTTTGATATTTATTTTATATATTTAAATGCCATTTAACAAAGAAAAATCAACAAAAAAATGAGTTCGAGTGTCACCTCTGACATGCGTGTCATATTCGCCATCACTGTTCTAGACTATTAGAACTGGGTCAAATTTGGAATTCTGTGGGCAGGGATTGTGTCTGTTGTGTTTCCTGCTTGAGCCCAGACTGTGAGGAGCTAGGACACTCAGAAGATGGGCCCCAAGGATGATAGTGGGCTGAGTGCTCACGAAACCACTGCAGCTGTCACAGAAGGTGGGCTTGCGGAAGGTGACCTCATGGAAGGTGTGCAAGAAGGCCAAGCCTAGCTTGGAGCAGATGGCACTGGCCCGGAGAAGGTATCCCGTCAGCTCCTCTCGGCTGAAGGAGCCACTCCTGGGGGCAGAGACCTCACTTCAGTATGACTTGCCCCTTTCTCCCAGACCCTGGGATCCTGGAAACCCGGGTATCCTCATCTGTGGGGGCCTTAGGAATCAGAGCACTTACTCTTGGCGAGGGGGTGGGTGAAGCCCATGGCAGGCAAAGGGGAAGTTGCCTGAGAGTCGCTCAAAGTCCTCAAGAGAGATGGTTCCTCGGCCTTCAGGGTCATAATTCTTGAACACGGACTTCAGAGGAACATGGGAAGGGGAGAGTAAGGCCAAGTCATGATCCCTTCAGTCTTAGGGTCAGGGCTATACAGGTAGCTTCCTTCTTGGCCCCCAGTAGCCGGGCCACAGTCCCCTCCTTACCTCTACCAGCTGCTCCACATGCAGACCCAGGGTGGCCCTGTCGGGCTTGGGCATCACACCAGGGGCCCACTCCACCACCAGGGGTGGTTTGAAGGGGGAGGATGGCTGGGGCAGGGACAGAGGGGCATAGTTAGTCAGTGCATAGGCTTGGGCTGGAGGTCAGAGATCAGGGTTCGGGTCTCACCAGACTCTTGGGACAGCGAGGCTCCCGGGTGTAAGAAAGCTCATAGATCTCGTCCTCCGTGTAGAAGAGATCCAGGGAAAGCTGGGGGTGGGCAGGGTGTTATAGACCCTTTGTCTCCATCCTCCTACCTACAGCCATTGCCCTGCCTGGGCCTCCATTCTCCCCCTCTTCCCAAAAGCCCCCTCTTCTCTGGGGACCTGGAAGGTCTTCTCTCCCACTGAGACCTATTTGTTCTTCACAGCACCTGTCCCCTCGTACAGGTATGCTACTTTCTCACCAAGGCTTTTTTGGGATCCTATTTAAAAGTGCAAACCCCTGCTCCTTTCCATGCCATTTTCTGCCTTAATTTACTCTATCATACTTATCTAAAAGACCATATGATTTACTTATTTGCTTTGTTTTATGGGCTGTCTCCCCCACTAGGATGTCGGCCCCACAAGAACAGCCCCTCCCCCCTTTTTTTCTGACTTGCTCACTGCTGTAAACCTAAGTGCCTAAAGTAGTGCCTGGCTCACAGTGGGTATTCAATAAATATTTGGGCTGATGGCCTGTTAGAGTCAGCAAAGCTTAGAACCCTTGGCACCACTCATATTAGGGCGGGGCCAGCTTCATGGGCAAGCCCCACACTTAGAAGGGCCCCCATTTTGTTTAGTGCCCTGTCACCAGTCTTGAAAGTCTGAAGAATTTGGAACAAGGAGCTCTATATTATTTATTTGTATTGCAACTGTAAACCTACTTTTGCCCACCCCTGTATATATGAATCTCCAGAATCCCACACTTCCAACCTTAGGACATAGTGTAGTAGTTCACATATGTTACACACGTGGGTTCTGAAGCTGGCCTGCCCGGGTTCAGATCCAGGTTTTACTGCTATGGGAGAGTGGGCAAGCGACCTCCCCTCTGTGGTCCTGTTTCCTAATCTGTAGAAAGCGTGATAAGGGTCCCCACCTTGGAGTTGTAGAGTGTTTTACATGGTGCCTGGCCCAGAGTAAGTGATCAATAATTATTACTAGCTTTTTGCTTAGATTCATAGTATGTTAAAGCTTGGAATTTTGGACTAATGACATGAGAAGCTCAGAACCTTGAAGTTCAGAAGTGTGAAAGCCCAAGGCAATTCTGGACCTCAGATCAATGGATACTTGAGTTGCTGGGGGAATGGGAGGAAAATGCATAATTTATGTGGAGCTCACTGTGTTCCAGGTACTAATTTAAGCACTCTATGTGAATTATATTATTGATTGGTTCTTCTCAACTACTCTTTGACGTGGGTCCTATTATTCCCATTTTGCAGATAAGGAAACTGAAGCCAAGGGGCTAAGTGACTTGCCCAAGGCCACACAGCTAGGAAAAACAAAACAAAACAAAACACCTAGAAGCTCTTAAAGCCCAAACATCCCAACACTATTCTCTCCTGGCACACAGCCCTTCACCCACCCAGGATCCCAGGCTCAGCCTCCTCGGCTGGGGCAGGGCTGCTCACTGTAAGCAGATGCAGCAGGTCCTCATTGGCACTGCAGGGGGGATGCTGCTTCTGAAGGGCTGCCAGTTCCTGCAGCCGTAGGTAGAGGCTGTTGAGCTTGGGAAGGTGCAGGCGGCCATCAGGTAACCTGTCTGGCTGTGCCTCATGCAGGGACACCAGGTCCTTGAGGTGCACACCCAGCACAGGCAGCCGGAAGCCCATACAGCCAGCCCAGGCTCGGCGATAACAGGCATAGTTGTTGTGGGCAGCGAGCAGCTCAGTCAGCTCCAGCAGGGCCTATGTGGGAGGCCATGTTGGGGAGAGGGTATCATGTTATCGGGGAAACCAGGTTCTGCTCCCTTAGCCCCCTGGAGGGGTGTATCCTAGCAGCCCCCTGTGTGGGCTCCTGACCCCAGGGGCCCAATGCCATTTTTGGACACTTCCCCAAACCCCTCTGTGTCCCACATTGGCCTCAACATCTTCTCAAATTTGCTCTTTCTTGGGTCCCCAGGCTAGAGTGATTCTTCCAACACCTAAGTCTGATCATGGATGTTGCATCATTCTCAAATGTTCCCTAACTCCCCAGTGCCCTCTGGATAAAGCCCAGACACCTTAATTGAGATTGCAAGGTTCACCTGGATCTTCCTCTGAACATCATCTGCCACCTCCTGACCTCAGCCACACACCAGACTCATGAATGACTCACTTTCCCCAGACATTACCAGGATCCCATCCCATGCTCCTCCCATGGGTGGCCCAAATGTTGGCATTCTTGGGGGCATTGTTTTACTCTGCACCTGGACTGCAAGTTCTCCACTAGCACCTTTCTCATCTGTCTCTCGCCAGTCCTGCTCAGGACTGGGCACACAGTAAGAGATGTCAGCATGACAGGTGGATGGGTGAAGAGGGAGGAAGAGTGGCAGAGGAGAACAGAGCCTGGGGATCTGTTGGATTTGGATGAGCAAGGTCTCCAGAGCCCCAGGGATAAAGGGGGTTGGAGAAAAGTGGGAGTTCAGGACCACTAGAATTTTTGGGAGGGTAGTGGGGCCTCACCTTGGTGCTGTCAGGACTCAGGTGGGCATGGGAGTCCTTGAGCCTGGAGATGGCACTGTGACACAGGCCCCCAGTGACTGCCATCAGTGTGTTGAAATTCTGCAGCTGGTGGAGACTCTAGGGAGGCCGATGCAGAAGTGATGGGGGTCACATGGAGCACGGATAAGTTGGGGGTTCAGATGACAGCATCCCAATTGAAAGTACCCAGTTGAAGTTGACGTCCCAGGCATGTGTGGGTGTGGACCAGTATGGGCATCAGACAGGTGAGATGTGTCAGGCAGGAGTGGGCCACAAGCAGGTATGTAACAGACTAATGTGAGGTCAGAAAAAAAGTGGAGGGACTCAGTCAAGTATGGGGTGTTGGACTAGACAGGTGTGTGTCAGACAGGTGTAGGTGATTCAGACAGATATCAGGGTGTCAGGAACCTGGAGGTCTTCACTGCTCTGCGAGTCAGATGTGGGGAGAAAGAAGGTCGGGCTCTGGGCCAGAGTTAGAACAGGGCAGAGGTGAATGGGGTCAGAGTGATATAGAGGGGTCAGGTAGAGACAGGTGTGGGGTCAGCTGGCCATCAGGGAGAATTTCCTCGTCCTCCCCTTTTCCAAGTTTGAAGGGCGCAGGTCGCTGCGAGGAGAACGTGGAACCAGGAGGAAACCCGCAGGCAAACCCAGAACCGCAGGTCTAAGCAGCCCAGCAAGGGAAGCAAAGGCGCAGGGAGAAGCCAGAGGAAGGGTGTGGCTGCAGGAAGTACGCAAGGGGCGTGGCCACGCTAGGGGAAGGAGGGCTTCCCTTTTCTCTAGAAGGGAGGGAACGTGTCTGCAGGGGAGGAGCGTGGCATGGGGCGGGGCAGGGAGAGACTTGACTTGAGGGGAAAGGATGTAGTCACTATTCCCGAACAGGCGGCTGGAATGATTCTAGGGACTGGGTGGAGGATGACGCAGGGGTGGAGGGCATGAAAGAGACGCTTTTATTGCCTTGGAGACAATATTCGGGTATAGGGCTTGGAAGACGGGGCCAGGAGGGATGTTGTCAACTGCCAAGTTTAGGACCACGGGGTGGGGCCAGGGAGGGTTGGATGCGGTGATAGCAAGGCCAAGGAACCAGGGCTGTCACAGTCCGGGTAAGAACCACCAGACTGAGACCTGGGGGTGGGGGTGGGAGGTGG